TGGTGGTAGTAGCAGCAGCAGCAGGGGCAGCATAGTAGACATCGTTGTAGAGCCTTTCTGCCATATCGATTGCCGGTTCCCTGCATGAATCCATGCGGTGGAAAAGCCTTCAGGAGAACCGCGCAGCAGACTCTCCACAAGGAAGGGTTTGGGGTGCAGGGTTTGAGGCCTAGGACTTATGGGTACAAAGCCTGGTCGCGGCAATGTCTGACAGGGTGCTGCACCTTTTTGGATGGAGTGCGTTCAGCCAGGGGACAGGATCCGATGCTGCATGCCTTGCAGGAGAAGAGGCATGGTTCTCGTGGCTAGGCCGGCACATGCACAGCTTCTGCCCTACAGTGTTGCTCCCACTGTCAGTGTGCTCGAGCCATATATGAACTGTTGGAAGAAACAGTAGAGAAGTTCTGACATGAAGACAACTTGCGTGCTAGCATCTCTGTGTACTATAGAATCCTGAAGGATTAGACCAAAGTGCTGGGATACACTGTCGTGTCTTGTATGTGCATTGTAGAGGGAGACTCTTCCAATGAGCAAAGTTTTCGCGATGAGCCTGTGGCTAGGCGCTCTCTATGGCTGAGCAGCTTCAGACACTTACGCAGAGCAAAGGCCAGCATTGCTCTATGAATCAAAAGGGAGGGGCTGCTTCCAGCGTCCAGGATTTTCAGCTTCATTCAGGGCTTTATGTTAGCCTATCCTAGGTTTAACCTGTTATCTCAGAATGTTCTCGTGGGAAAATTCGGTGAGTGTGATATTTCAGGTATGGCCCGGTTTAGTCCTCAAGTAAGGGCGCCAGATTTTAAATCCTTGCAGAAACTGCCTTCGCAAAGGCACCGGCGGCAGCAGCGGCTGCAGCAGCGGCTGCAGCAGCGGCAGCAGCGGCAGCAGCGGCAGCAGCAGCAGCAGCAGCAGCAGTCGTAGCATTTGTGCTTAGGCGTACGCACAACATCAAGAATGTCAAGACTGGCTGGACCAGCAAGTGTGCAAACGGAGATGTGTAACAGTCACCGTCGTAGCAACACTTCCACAGGCATGGACGGAAATTTCAAAGTAGTGGTGATCACATTACGTGCCTTGTGCCCCGGTCTTAGCGAGCTGGATCGGGTCAAGACAAGCTGCCTCGTGCTTAGGGTCACCTGCTACGTGCATTGTTGCGATAGTTGTTCTCAGTGTCCTCCGCCAGAACGTAATGCAGTGCTTGACAGGCTCTGTAATCTGATAAGCCTAGCAAAACTCAACGAACTGGATATTGCCATTACTGCCTTCTCCTCTGTCCTACCCTCCTTTTGAGATGATGCAGGACTGACCTTTGCCACCTCCTCGCTGCACGTCTCTGCCGTGAAGCCAAAAGCAACAACGCCTGGGTCGATGAGCATGCCGGGCAGGGCAGGGCAGTGCAGAATACATGGCGGTCGGTCTCTGATGAAGTCTTGCAGCAAAACGTCGAGAGAGAGAGAGAGAGAGAGAGAACAGCAAGCCACAATCCTTATAGTTGTCGCCAGAAGGAATCACAGCAAAAGCGCATGCCCAACTGCTGGAACTCTGTATTGTGGCTCAGACGGCGGATAGTACAAACGGTCCGCCAATTGACTCATCCCAGGCAAGTTTTAAAAACAGCACCCGTCCCAAGAGCTCAGAATATTTTAGCGATGCCCCAAAAATGACTGGGAGCTGTGAGAAAGCCGCAGTGTACGGAATGTGACAGTTAACAGGCGACCAGGGCCGTAGGTGTTCAGTGAGGGATGCTGGCCTCCAGCGACTCAGCCCCTGAGGTACACGCTTAACCACTCCTGGAAGCCATCCGTATACTACACCTGACATCAGAGATCAGCTCTTTTTAGTCAACCCCCAGCTTAAGACTTAGACTAAGAGGCAGGCGCCAAGCGCTTTCAATTTAATTCTGGCCATGAAGTCGGAGCCTTTGCTCCCTATCTTCGAGCCCAAAGACAGCCACCTCGGTGACTGGACGGCACAATGCCGAAGCTTTGCGAAGAGATCCGCCTCTTGGACACCTTTGTGCGCCCAAGGAATCCTACATGTGAGTGTGGCTGTTGGCAATCTGAGGGCCAGTGACGTCAGTGGCAGTATCCGTCTTAAACAAGGATTTTGAGTATCATGTTTGGTCCCCCGTATGCCATATAATCATTATATTTTCCCTACACAATGTCCATGCCACCCCTATATAATCCTAATGATACCCCTACATAATCCCTATGTTACCCTTATATAATCTTTATAGGACCAGGCTCAGGATTGGCTGCACCCTAAACCTGAGGATTGGCTGGCCATTTTCCTTGGGCCAGCGATATCTGTGCCATTTGCGACCTGCTACGCAGCGTTGGTCTGCAACGACGTTTCCATGCAAGCCAATTTTCCAGTCGTGTTGCAGCAGCTTGGCGTCTTCAGTGGAATGAGGAAATTCCTCCAAACTGTATATGCAGAAGCCTCCTAGTACTGATCCCCATGTGGATGCTGACAGCTTGCATTGGTTCAGGTTCATGGTGAACTGGAGACATTTGCAAGAGTTGCATTTAATTCATGTACGGAAGCCCGCCGTTTTTTTCAAATACTTCCTGTCCAATCCGGAAAAAGAACCCCCCGCTTATCTCCGTAATCCTGGTCCCCTGAAGATAACCTGATTTTGCAAAACCTGCATCTCTCCTCGAGGCAGGTCATGTGGACGCAGATGATCGGAATCTCGTCAGGCATTCGTGCCGAACGCACCCAGGCCCCAAAGGCTACAACCCTGTCCCCCTTGGTACTGTGCACCCGCCCCAACCTCGACATATTCACTTTCTCTATAATTACACGGCAAATAAGTGTCCAGGATCGAACATTAAGATATTGGACTATCATCCTTATCACCTTTGAAACGTTTATTGCTCTCTTTCTGCTTTATTTTCGTTATTAACACATTTGTGTTTATTCTGACTGCAAGTTTCATTTTCCTTAACCAACGGTTCAGAGACCACAAGACGGACGATTGCTTATCAGCGTTCTTGGAGCACACGGTGTTCCATAATCCGTAGAGACCTTTCCAAGCACAGGGTGCGGATTTCATGAGCCTTATTAATTGGTGTAGGTCTGCTCTGAGCGCATTCATCTTGGAACTCCCGCATGTTTTCCTGCTTGGCTTGCTGCAGCCCTGTTACTAGTATATCGACTGGACTGGACAACATTCCCCGCCACCTCAGTTAGTGCTGTAGGGCATTGAGCACATTTCTACAGTCAGTAGTCGCATCATGAACATGCTTGTGTACAGAGAGAAGCCAATCCAGATGGTTGGCGCATGATTTTATGCGCCTTTGCAAGCAGACGGTGCACAGAGGAAAACGGTGGAAATCAGCATCCCGAGATTGGGGTAGATAGTGGCCACGAGACAACCCACTGCACTTTGCACCAGAATGTGTGGTCGTTTGGAGTCTTTCATGTGGTAGTTTCTTTAAATAGAGGGACCCTAGAATAGTACCGCTAATTTGGGAAACGCCAGTGTTGGCCAAGGATCCATCATCGCCCTGGTCATCGGCCAGTTCGTGACCACAACGAACTTGGATCCTCTGACTGCTACTAGGAAGCCCGGTGGTAGCCTTCTACTTTTTTGGTGTTCTGGGTTCCTTTGTGTAACTAGTATGGTTGGTTACTGGGCGACGAATCCTATTTCCATAGGGAGGATCTTGATTTTTGATATAGTATAACCCCTGGGAATTGTTGGAAATACTCTTTTAATCTAGATCTAGGGCGATTAAACCCTAAACCTAATCCCTAAATCTTATAGGCACTCTAATTCTTAGTACAGGCCTAGGGGGGGATACAGACCAAGGCTATACTTTTTGGCCAGCTGGCTCGGAAAGTGAGGGCCTCAGCTTCCTGAGAAGCCATCAGATTAATACAGGGATTAATATAGGGGTTATATAGGGGGTATAAGGTATATATTGGGGTTATAGTGGGATGATGGAAAAGAAAAAGAAAACTACTATAATTTGGGCTATATAAGGTCACCTGATGAGCTATAGTCTAAGTTCCTAGTATCCCCCTATGTTACTAAGCCCTGAAACTGTCCCCTATAGAATCCCCTATAGAACCCCCCTTTAAGGAGTTTAGACCCTATACCCTAGATTCTGTATAATCCCCTATATGGGTGGTTGTCAAAATTATGGTGCCTTTTGAGTACCCTGATAATAGGGACCATAATTTTGACAGCCACCCATATAGCTCCCCCTTTAAGCCCACTCTCGACATGTTTTCTGTTTTTTTTTCAAGGCTGCTGTTTTCAAGAACCCCCTTCCAGAAAGTTTCATCACAAACGGCAGCATGAGATGCGCCTGCGCCTTCTCCTATCTGTAAACGACTGGAAACCCTAAACCCTAAAGCCTAAACCCTAAACCAGGAAGGAATCGGCCTTTCCCTTGGAAGGGAGCCTGAATGAAGGTTTCCAGTAAAAGGGCTTCGCCTGAAGGAGGATAGAGACCTTGTTACAGGGGTTTCAAAAAATGGACCCCTGATTCTCAGAAACCTTAATCCAATATATCCCTTTAATTTCCCCAAAAACTTTTCAGACCCTTCTACAGCCGCTCCTAGTTCTGGAAGCAACCAACTGCCACTTGACCGACTCCCTTAGGTCGCCCGCTTCAACACTGGCCAGGGAAGCCAGGAGTATGCAAAGCTTCCCTTGAGAAACGCATGCTTATGCAGTGCACAAGATGTAGCCTGCAGTCCTCAAATCTCAGATGAAGCCAGGGCCCCGGGCTCTTCTGAGCCTTCTAGCCTCTACTCCCCAAATTCGCAGAGCGCTTTACAACAGGAGATGATCCTGTGCAGCATGATGCTCCTCATGCCGGTGATCTCACTCTGCTTGGGCATTGTGCTGTACTTTGTGGGCAAGCTTAAGCTCGTGCGCATCCCAGACCTCGCCGGATGGAGTTGGCAATAGCATCGGGAGAGCAGCGCAGCTTCTGCGAATGCCATGTTGCGACTAACTGTTGTGATGCCGGCTGCAATGGTAGAAAACTATGTACTACCATGACAGCTACATGTACAAGGCTATAGTTAGCGCCATGGCTGTAACGCATTCTACAAAGAGAGAACGAGAGAAGGGGATACCTCTCTGGAAGGCCATGATGCTCCGTTTCATCCCATACACCGTGGTGGGCGGATTCCTGGCAGGCAGCGGTATCCTTATCTTGCAGGCGCGGAGTGCTTGCGGGCCCCATGTGCAGTATAATTAGTCTAAACTCCTTAAAAGGGGGGTTATATAGGGGATCATGGGAGTAGTATAGGGGTTATTACAGGGGATACTAGGAGTTTGGACTACGGCTCATGTGGTGGGTTTCTGTTTGGGACGCCTGACTGCCGCCCATCGTCTTGGCTGGTGGGCTTGTCCACGGCCTTGGCCTTCAGTCAATTTTCACAAGTAGCTTCATACGTATCTCGGGATGTAGAGGGCGTGGCCACGACGGGTAACCCGCTTACTGCAACACAACCTGCACAAAATTCAGAACGAGTAGTTTCCGGAAACAAGGGGATTGTGAGCACAAAGCGTTTTTTGCTGGGACATTCGCTCCATTACCAGGGGAGGTTTGGTGCTCCTTGCACAGTCTCAAGATCTTGTACTTCTGCAACTGGGGGAGCTGGAGGGTTCCGAGGCCATGCAATCTGTTTTGGGCATGTGTAGCAGGGAATTGCTTTGAACACCCCCCCTTAAGCCCAGCTGCATCTGGCTGCAACAGGAGTCGCTTGCTCTGGCGGGTGGCATGAACCTGGGTGTGCCTGGCCTGCCTGACGGTTAAACTGTTGAGCTACGGTGGATACAACAATCCTACATGACCCTGAGTACCTTATACCTTGGGAATTATAGTAAAAACAGTACAGTAAGGTCATGCAGGGCTTTTCGTCTCGACAGTAGTTGTGGCCTATGGGTTCAGGAGTCTGACTAGAGTTTGGAGTTCAGGAGATACGTTGAGCATAACAAGCTCCTACCTCCAAGCAGTCCCAGGAGGTTCCATAGCGCAATAAGATGCAACCTAATCGCCTTGCATGTCCCACCTAGGTGCTCCTTGCAACCCCCCACGCCGTACATTGAAGAAGCCTTGTAGTGAACACCAACTTAAAACAGATATGCGCATCCTAGAGAACTTTAGGCAGAAGCCCATGATGGACTGCCAGCTCAATATACCAGCTAGTACAAACGCCGCATTCTAAAACTCTAACATGCGAGCCCCCGAAACCCTGCACCCTAAATCCCAAGCCCCGACGGCCTAAAGCCTAAGCTGCAGAACTGTAAAGCCAATTTGAGGACCTCGTTCCTCAGACTTTCCTGAGCCCGCATGAGACTGTAGGACCCTGGATCCAGCCTCTCGGATCTGTTGACGGTTGGATGAAGGCTTCGGGTTGGGGTTTAGGTGATCATGGTGAAAGGACTTGCGCTAGGAATTCCAAGGGCTTCAGGAGGCTTTGGAGGTTGAATGGGTCTCAGGGGAAAGGTCCACACATGCTGCATACCTCATACTACTAGGCATCACTGTATTTTTTGGGTTTTAAGTTGTGCAACCTCCATCCCTTGGGCTGCATGTTAAGTATTGCCGGAAAAGTAGGGGAGATCATTCCGCAAGCGATCCTTCCAACAGCTACACATCAGGTGTTCAGGGTCTTGCTTTTAGGGGGCTTTAGGCAGGCTCATATCTCCATAAGGGCATAGGACTCCTCTGCAATCCACATATCTTTCACAGGCGACAGAATCCTAAAGAAGCTCACTTGGTAGTTTCCCAAAATA